CTGTGTGACTTCAGAGTACGTCATGGAAGACAGTGCATCCTCCACATGGTTCATGGGAACATTCTCTCCTGAACACTCCCTGCACCGTGTGAGTAGCCTGACTGCCCCAAGGCCACCATGCTATGAGAAGCCCAAGTCAGGCCATGCACAGAGAGAGGCTCTGAGACTCCATGAAGAGAGAGAGATGCCCAGCCAACCCCTAGTCGCTTGCACCCCTCTATCCCCACTGTTCAAACCCTCTGTAGCCACACAAGAGGTCCTGAGCTGGAACCAACCAGCTCAGCCTCTGAATTTTGGGGTGATTTCTTTTGTAGCAATAGTCATCCAAACAGGTCCAAGCTTCCCCTTTGGGTAAGAGCAGAAGCACTTTCATCTGTTTTACGTATCTGATTTTCTCATTAATATTAGAACCATGATTCATTACTTAAAAAAAGAAACATCTGAAGGATCTCTTTAAGAATGGGAGAAGCGAATTTCAGCCCCGCTACCACTTGCTGGAACCATGACATGATGATGACAAAATCTAACTCTAGGCTTGACTAGTATCCAACACATGTTTTTAGATAAAGAAATAATTACTTATGAGGTAGGGTAAAGCTTGTAATGAAAAGACATTCAAGAGGAAAAGATCTTAATTCACTAATTGCTGACAATTTTTGTCTTAATCAACACAATACCTTTTAAGAAAGAAAAGGTGAAAGGATTTGGGGAAAGTACCATATAGTCACTCCAAATAACGTATAGGAAAGGAACAGCTTATTGGAAAGCCCCTGCCAGGAAAACTTAATCCCATATAAGTTACTATATGCTTAGCTCAAAGCATGGGCAAACAGGCAAGAGGTACAGGGCTCGGCTCTGGCTTCTGTCTTTTGGGACAGACATTTGAAGACAAAGCACACCTGGAGGAGAGAGATCGGAAACTGATGAGCTTGAAAGTCAAGAGATGTAGTGAAAAAAAGGGTTCAAGAACCACGAACATTAACAATGAAGAAGTAAGATTAAGATCAAATGCAATTATTGTTTTCAAAATGTCAACAGCGAGCAGCTGTTGAAGCTCCTATTCACTCCTATTTGGTTCAGTCCTCGAAACAGCTTGCTTCCATTTTATAGATGAGAAAAGTAAGGCCTAAGGTTATAGAGCATGTTGGTGGTAGAGCCAGGATTCAATGGACTCCCAGAAAAATGGACCCCCGAAGTCCTGCATTTTTTAACCACAATAGGTTGGATTGCAAAAATTAGACTTACTGGATGGGCGCAATGACTCACACCTGTAATCCCAGCACTTTGGGAAGCCAAGGTGGGCAGATCACTTGAGCCCAGGAGTTCAAGACCAGCCTGGGCAACATGGCATAACCCTGTCTCTACCAAAAATACACAGATTAGTCAGGCGTGGTGGTGTACACCTGTGGTCCCAGCTACTGTGGAGGCCGAGGTGGGAGCATCACTTGAGCCCAGGAGGTTGAGCCTGCAATGAGCGGTGATCTTGCCATTGCATTCCACCCTGGCCAACAGAGCAAGGCCCTGTCTCAAAAAAAAAAAAAAAAAAAAAAAAAAAAAATAGATTTACTGAGCATTTTTCCAAAGGGCAGATCCAGGACAGAATGGAAGTCACAGCAAGGTCAATGCCAATGAAGTCTGAAGAAGAAGACTTTTCTATCTGTTAGGGGTATAAAAGAATCAAAGTTATAGACAATGGTCATCCTACTGCAGAAAATGCACAAGCTAGATAACTAGCTTTGATGAATTTCAGCTCTGGCTGAGAGACTGAATTGAAACAGGATATTTCCCTGACCCCTTCATGGGAAGGAACTGGAGTTGATGGGCACTAGTGCTAGCCAGCTGCTTTGGTGCTGCAGAGGCAGACTCCACGCACTTGGTCCCACTGAGTTCTACCCTTGTGGGATGAGGAGCACAGGTGAGCAGGTGCAGGAGCCAGGGCGAGCACTCTTTGGGCACCGGCAGGAGCAGAACTCTGTGGAGATCCCGTGACAGCATCTAAGGGGGTGCTTGTGATCCCTGAAGCTCCAGAAGCAGTGTTACAGTGTCCTTTTAGCTTTGTAATCCATGATGATTTAAGAGTTAACAGCTCAGTGGATGGTCAGTGTGACCGCCTTTTGCACCCACACACCTGGCACCCAAGTTGTCCAGGGTCCAGGAGAAATGTGGTTACACAAACGAATTAGAGATAATAAATGTGGGAGATTTTATTGCTGGTGAAAGTGACCCTCAGTGGGTGGGAAGGGGAGCTGAAAAAGATACAGAGTGGGAAAGAATCTTCCCTGGGGATGGCCAGACTCCTCTCTGAAGCGATACTGTTAAGCTGTCCCTCTGAAATCAATCTGCTTCTCTCCGAAGTCCAACCACAGTCTCTGATGTAAAGCTGCTTCTTTTCCCTGCTGGATGAGTTCTGGGGTTTTTACAGGCACAGGATGCAGAGTGGGGAGGGTAGACCATGGGTGGTTTTGGAAAAGGCAACATTGGAGTGGGAAAAAAGGGATGTATGTTCTCACTTTGGGCTGTGGTATTAGGCTTGAGGGTGGTGTCCTTGCTGGGGACCTGCCCTCTTCTGCCCAGAATTTCCCTGTCTCCTGTCTCTATCAGAACTAGAGGATGTCTGAGAGACACCTTCAAGCACTGAGATTCTGTGTGTATGGCTGGGGTTGCAGTTATTCTAAATTTGGGCAGGAGTTGTCCTAAGAATGGAAGATTTTTTGTTCTCCTGTAATTCTTCTCTACCAAACACTTTAGACCTGTGGAGATGCACTCCTAGAGGGTAGAGGCTGAGGGAGTATTGTTACAAAGCAGAAAAAACACTAGAGGTGTCAAAAGACCCTGGCTCTGATGCTCAACTTCCTGTATAACCTTGTCACTTAATGCACTGCATGTCAGTTTCCTCAGTTATCAGATGCAAGTGGTAAGAGGTGATATGGAGCACAGTGAAGTCATTCCCATAGCCACACTGCCCATCTCACTAGCTGCAACTGACAAAATAACTTTTGCCTCCATTTTCTTATCTGTAAAACAGAAGTCATAACAGTAACAGCATTCTAGGGCTATTGTGAGAATTCAATCAGTTAATCATTTCTACAGTGCCGGGGACACAGCCTGCTACATAACAAGCACAAAGTAAGTGTTAGCCAACATGAGGACAATAGTAACTAATTCCCTTATCTCACTAGGAGGTTGTGAGAGAGATAGGGGCTATGTACAGGACTACTCTGAAATAAGAAGTAGCTGTTTTCCTTGGTAGGAATGTCAAATGGTACAGCTGCTGTGGAAAACAATATGGTGGCTCATCAAAAAATTAAAAGGAGAACTACTGTATGAGTCAGCAATTCTGCTTCTGGGTAAATACCCAAAAGAATTGAAAACAGGGTCCTGAAGAGATCCTGGCAATTGCAAAAAATGCAGAAGCAACCCAATTGTCCATCCACAGGACAAACGGAGAAGCAATGTGTGGTATGTACAATGGAGAATTATTCAGGCTTAAAATGAAAAGAAACTATGGCACATGCCATAATATGGATGATCCTGAGGACAGGATGCTAAGCTGAATAGGCCAGACACAAAAAATAAATACTGTATGACTCCATTCACATGAGGTACCTACAACAGTCAAATTCATAGAAATCAACAGTTGAATAGTGGTTGTCAGGGGTTGGAAGAAGTAAGTAATGGGGAGTTTACTGCTTAATGGGCATTGAGTTTTAGTTTTACAAGATGAAATGCTTATGGAGATGGATGGTGGTGACAGATGCATAACATTATGAATGCATTTCCACTGAACTGTACACTTAAAAATGGGTAAGATGGTAAATTTTATGTCTGTTTTAATACAACAAATAATTGGGGGGGAGTAACCATTTTTCATTAAAAAGTAAATTCCCTTATAACATAATAAAGTCTTTTTCCTGGAATTTTTCTAGGTTTACATTTCTAGGTCCAAATTTCCTAGGCTGCAAATGTCTAGTGGTATTCAAACAATGTTCTCCCCAGAGTGGGGATTCTCCCCATGTTGATGTGGTTTTCTCTCTCATGTTCAGTTATTTCTGTGAAATTGCTCAAGTTTTTGGCAATACGATAATCTTATCCTCCTGCCCATCTTTCTGCTGCTGGTGCCCTTGGCCTTCAGCTTTCTCATCCATAAGTTCACAGGTGGTTGTGTGACAGGCTCTTACGTTTAGGTTTATAATACACTTTGAGTTCACTTTTGTGTATGGTGTGAGAACAAGGATTAAACGTCTCAGTGCCATTTATTGAAAACCATCCTTTTCCCATTGAATGGTCTTGGTACTCTTCTCAAAAATCAACTGATGATAAAGGTAAGAGTTCTCAACTCTGTTCTGTTAACCTATATATCCTATGCTTATTCCAAAACCACACTATTGTGATTATGTAGCTTTACAGTATGCTTTGGAACCAGGAATTTAAGTCCTCCAACTGTGTTCGTTTTTCAAGGTTGCTTTGGCTATTCTGAGTCCTTTGTATTTCTTATTCAATTTCATATAAATTTTAAGATCAGCTTGTCAATTTTTGCCAAGAACGCTACTGGAATTTTGATAGGGATTGCTCTGAATGTAGAGATCAATTTAAGGAGAACTGCCATTTTAATAATACTGTGTCTTCTACTTGGTAAACATGGACTGTTTTTCTATTTATGTAGATCTTCCTTAATTTCCCTCAGGAATATTTCATACTTTTTAGTATATAAGTCTTTAGCTTCTTTTATCAAATTTATTCCTGAGCATTTAATTCTTTTTGATGCCTTTGCAAATAGAACTGTTTTGTTTAATTTTACCTTTGGATTCTTCATTGCTACTATAAAGAACTGTAATTGATTTTGTATATTGATCTTGTCTCCTGTGGCCTTGCTCTACTCTTTTATTAGTTCTAGTAGGTTCTTTTGCATGGGTATTTATTAGTATCTTCTACATATCAGATGTTGTTGTCTGCACCCACTACCTTTTGAAAGTAGTTAAAATCTTAGATAGACTCAACTACTAGAAGGAAGAGGGGACTGTGTTGACAGTGACACAATCTTAGATTATATGGCGTTTCTCCTCCCTTCCCATGCACTGAAAATCACCTGATATGGTTAGGCTTTGTGTTCCAAACCAAATCTCATCTTGAATTGTAATCCCCAGGTGTTGATGGAGAAACCAGGTGGGAGGTGACTGGGTCATGGGGGCAGTTTCCCCCATACTGTTTTGTGATAGTGAGTTCTCATGAGATCTGATGATTTCTTAAGGCAGTCTTCCCTGCTCTTGCACACTTCTCTCTCCTGCCGTCCTCTGAAGAGGTGCCTTCCACCATGACTGTAACTTTCCTGAGGCCTCCCAAGCTGTGCAGAACTGTGAGTCAATTGAACTTCTTTTCTTTATACATTACCCAGTCTCAGGTACTTCTTCAGACTAATACAGCACGACTGAGGATTTGTTTCTCACTTTATTTCACTAAGGTAAAAACAGTGGGGGGAATAAAGTAGAGAAAACAATACCTGCAAGTAGAAAAGACCCAAAGAAAATATGAAACAGCCCATGAGCAACTGAGATGCAGCATGCCTTCAAAGTGGGTGCTAGATTCAGGAAATATCTTCCAGGTTCCCCAAAGGAGAGCAGAGCCACCTTAAAGTCATTGGCAACTTGGGAGAAGAATGGCAAGGGTGCTGTCTTGCACTCAAGGGATCAGCTGTGCCATGTGCCACATAACTTCTTTGAACCTCAGTTTCCTTGACTGTTTAAAAATAAGTTGAAAAATTAGATTTGCCCTACCCACAGCTCCCCACCTTCACAGTCACAGCTCAGAGAGAAGGTGACAGCACATGTGGATGGTGCCCTGAGGCACGTGGACAATTTCTTGCCACCAGCAACCACCAGCCCAGGGGCCTGCTACCCAGGCCACCTCTGGGTTATCCTCAGAGCTGGGAGGAGGATCCACGCTGCCACCTGCCCAAAACCCACTTGTGGTACTCTGGGAAGGCCAGATTTCAACATTAAATGACATGAGCTGAAAGCTGATGGAGTTTGGAGACTTGTAGTAGAAAAGAGGATTTGTTATCAGCTTATTCTTGTGGGAGGACCTGAAGTCATCTCAGTACTTATTTGTGGCTTGCCTTCGAAAGCCTGGAGGAGGCTAATTCCTCTAACCCGACACAATGCACAAATTGTCCTTCTTCTTCTTTTCCTTCTCTCATTGCAGGTGAGGGAGTGGGAGAGACAAAGGAAGCAATGACAATAAGGTGAAATGAAAGGAAGGGGAGACCAAGAAGGATTGGCTTTCTGAGACCCCTCAGATGATGGCTTCAGAGATGTTTCTGCTCATTGTGGGCACTGAGAAAGACCACGATTTTTTTCTAGAAAAGAGTGAGACTTTGACAAGAATGAAGGCAAGGAGAGAAGATGCATGAAAATGTGTTGGCCTGCTCCTAAATTGCTCCCAGGACATGGCTGGGGGAAAATAAAAATCAAACATCCATCAAGTCATGCTCTTTGCAGGCCGCAGGTGGCAGTGTCCTGAAACTGTCCCCAGATACCTTTACCTTCAGAACCTCATTAAGGGGCCAGTTTGGGCTGGGAAGGTAGGACAGAGGGGGAAACAAAAACCTTTCTTCCTTCCCACCCTACAAGGTCACAGTTAATATTTTATAATCTATTCAGTTCACAAGGGAGGGGCAAGGAAAGAAAAGAGGTGTAGAAGGCGGGAAGGGAAGCCAAAAGACTAGAAATAATGTTTTCTCTCCACTGCAACCCACATGGTTTAAACCCATTAAACTCCAAGGTGATTATAGAAATTAGACACCTTTTAAGGAGCGGAACACTGGAGCCTAGGTGTGCCATGCACAGGCATGCAGGGACCGCTCAGCAAATAAACCCTGACAGCTTCTCACGGCTCAGGGATTAGGAGGAAGCCTGTTTACTTACATTTCATAAACGCTGCCATCACAAAGGGCTCATAAGAAATTACCAGTGCTCGAGTCTTGGCAGCAGTGTCTCTGTCCAGCTTTGGCCTTTTTCTTGTGGACAGTAAATGTGATTTCAGGGAAATGACTTTAAAGATCTGGGAATTTGCATTGCGGGCCATGTGCTCATCTAAGCCACCCCACCCTTGGGGACCAGGCAGCAGGGCGGACAATGGGAGCCAGTGGAGGGGGCGCCAAGCCTCTGATTCTGCAGGAACTTTAGGCTTCCCCATCACTCGGTGGGCTCAACTTCTACCCACAGCCTTCTACATTGGCCACGGTGACTGTGCTGGGGGCACCTCTCAGAGGATTCACCAGGGCCAGAACTGTGTTGGATTCGATGGACAGAAGGACCTGGCTCGGGTTTGCCTCAGGGTCTTAGTCAAGATGGGAAAATGTAAATTACATGAAATCAACTGTAGAACACAAAACAGTACATCATGAAGAACTAAGCTGATGTGTAACACAAGGAACTGGACAGAAGGAAACCCACAATAGGAAACTGAGGCAGGCTTTCTATAAGAGGTGGGACTTACGAGAAGGCAGAGTGGAAAGCAGAGGGAAGACCCTCTGGTGGCCTTCATGAACTCGTGAGAATATTTTCCCATAGCTACAAGGATACCAGAAGGTATTTCCTGCAGCACATATAAAACCTGCAGCTGCTTCCCCCGCGACGAGTCTTCTCGGGAACAATTCAGGCAGAAACCACTTTGGCTGCCCAAGGGCTGGACTCTGATCTAGGCTCACAGTTAATTGCAAGATGTGTGTATCAAGGGCTTTGCACCAACTGGGATAGGTTGTCCCATCTCCTGTTGCCCTATCTCAAGCCACTATAGTTCAATAGAAGTTTAAAGCATCTGTGGGCCTGAGAGAGAGCTGGGCTGTATGCATTGTCAGGACTGGAAAGAAACCAGGTCAGCATTAATCCAGTGAGGTGGGGGCTTCCATCATGCTCTAAGCCCACTCTGCAATAATGACAGGTTGGAAGCTTCTAAGCAGAAACCCTGAGATCCCTAGAGACCATCAAATAGGGTGAGGGTTGCACTATGGAGAAGTGTAGTAAAGATGGGCCTGGACAATCTCGCCCCAGGCTTAGTCCAGAGGGGCAAAGAAGGATCTTGTATCTCCTTCCTGACTTGCAACTCTGATTATGAAGGTAAGAAACATCAGAGGACTTCGAGGAAGGCCCTGGGACTCTAGACTGCAGAGAAGAGCCTAACTCAGTTGCTTATAGAAGCTTTTTGGAGTTCCTCTATGTAGATCAGATGGAGGCATTACTGGAGAGTCACTACCCTCCAGGTCAACTATTACAACCCACGATTGATGCCATACGGAGGTATATGCAAGTGCAGAGTGCATTCTCTCCGGGAAGGAGAAATGAACAGGGCAAGGGGCATGCTGAGTTGAGTCTTGCAAGAAGAACAGTATTTCCAGAGCTGGTGAAGGTTCTGAGCTCACTGACCAGGTGCCTTTTACATTCAAAGGCCAATGTGTTTCCTACCCTAAGGAAAAGTTCACCTGTTAGACACTTGTTCACCCCTAACCAGAGAGAGGACTGCCAAAACCTCCAGGCAGGGTAGATCACTTCCAGCTATCTGTCTCCCGCTGGAGAAAGGCCAAGTGCTAGGACAAAGGGGAATAAAGGACAACTGGACAGACCCTAACACTGGGCAGGTCTGCCCCTCAGTGCCAAGACCCGAGCACCTTGCTCAGAAAGTCATCTGTTCAGGGAGCAGCACTAGCAGAGGGGACATTGAGCCCAGTGAACCCCATATGGATCCTAGTTGGCTACAGTGGGACATTGAGCCCAGTGAACCCCATATGGATCCTAGTTGGCTATAAAGAATCTCTGGACATAGGAAATGGATGGGGGATGGAATACTAAAGAACATGAAGATAGAACATTTCCATTTTATTAATACCCTTGAGACTTTTCAAACAGCTATAGCTGAAGCCTCAGGACAGTCCTGAGAATGAAGCTGAGAGGGAGTACCGTCTCCATGTCACAGATAAGAAAATAAGGCTCAAAGAGATCATGTACCTGCCCTAAGGTCCTATGGCTAGTCAGAGAAAGAACAGAACACAGAACTTACTTCTCTTTTTCCCCTAAGGGCTGTAAGTCAGTCACTAAACCTTACTATTGGCGGTGGGGGGCAAGCAGGCTCATTTGTGGAGTCCTTGAACATTGTGTAGAAGTAGGTAAGTCAAATTAAAAGACACTGGTTTGATAACTATTGATAATTAATAAATTGGTCTTCCAATTTTCTAAATACTTTTTACATTTAATGAGCTACCCAGCTGGTCCTTCTGAAGCCAAAGGGGAATTGCATTTTAAAACCAAATTAAATTTTCCAGGATTTTTTGGTACGTAACAGAAAACTTCCTGTATGCAAGTCAAAGGTTAGTGATCAGTGGAAATGCTTTGATGGTATTTATTTTAAGCCAAGATACCCTCTCTATTGAAAAAATCTTTTTTCCAAGTTTTCGCTTTTGAGTCATTTAGCACTCTTACTAAAAATTAAATGAGTTAAGTAAATAAGGGGAGGGGAACCGGGAACCACTTTGATCTGAAGCTTTCAACAAATGACATTGTCCAGAGTGTGTCCTGATCAAATTCAGTGTTTTGAAACATTGCTTCTCTAATATTCGATACCTAACATGTGACTAACAGGTTTGAGTTTTGTCATGATCCCTAACTCAGCAAGTTACACAGGATGTGCCAACTAAAGCCCTTCTTCCACTGACCACACAACACTGTGAGCTCTCAGCCTCCTGGGAGGGCAGAGTGTACAATCGCCTCCCAGGAGAATGTCTTCCACGACGTGTTTTTCCTATCTCTCATTGCAGCACATGTCTTCATTGCTGTATAAATGAACACCTCCATCACCAGGCATCAATTGTTTAACAAGCTTTTTTTTTTTTTTTTTTCTGTGACAGAGTTTCGCTCTTGTTACCCAGGCTGGAGTGCAATGGTGCGATCTCGGCTCACTGCAACCTCCGCCTCCTGGGTTCAGGCAATTCTCCTGCCTCAGCTTCCTGAGTAACTGGGACTACAGGCACGCGCCAACGTGCCCAGCTAATTTTTTGTAATTTTTAGTAGAGACGGGGTTTCACCATGTTGACCAGGATGGTCTCGATCTGTTGACCTCGTGATCCACCCGCCTCGGCCTCCCAAAGTGCTGGGATTACAGGCTTGAGCCACCGCGCCCAGCCCATTTATCAACCTTTAATGGGATCTTGTCAATTCAAGTTCCTGGGGTTCCCTTGGCCAACTGGAGGTACTCTTTTTCTAATGAATTTAACAAGGAGGTATCAGACAAGGAGAGTAGTTTGATGAAAGCCCATGGCCTTTGACTCACATGGCCCAGCCTGCTCTTAATCCTGTGCCTTGAAACTTCTCCAAGTTGGGATAAATATGGCCAGGAAGGCTGGGCCTCCAGGAGCAAGATGCCACTGAATTCCTGCCTCAGTCATTTCTTGAATATCAGATACATCTCTCCTGACCTAAAAAGAATTCACTTCAGGAGAAGGGACATAGAACAGGCTGAGAATGGCCTTCTGTGCTAAGCTGAGGAAAGCCCAATGTCCTGCACATGATGAGATTTTACAAGCTGCCTATGAACTGGTAGATGAAAGTGGAAATAGGGCTGTTCTAACAATCATCACTTAATGACTACATCGGAAATAAACAGAGAATGTGGAGCCCCGCTTGAATCCCATCCAAGGGGACCCTGGCTATTAAGGTGCTCTAAGTTCTTGCTTATAAGATGGTACTTTTAACGGGATTCCTGAAGGGGTCTTGCCCACGTGTAGACCCTAAGGGCAGTGCTGTCATGTTGCTGCCGTAGCTGCACAGTTGACAACCCGCCTCCCTGCTTTTAAAGTTTCAATCATATATGTAAACTCCTACCAAGAAGAACCCCAAATTAAGCAATCTTAAATGTTTTTTAATTAGAAAAATGCTACATGCTTCCATTTTTACATTTTTCAATGTGATATGTACATCAAAGAAACCCAAAAGCTGAGACTCTTGAACTTGAACATGCAGAAGCCCCTACAAGGTTTATTAAGATCACCTGGGCCTCAGCCCAGAGATTCAACTCCAGGAAGTGATTTTTTAAAAATAATTAATTAATTAATTTCTTTATGGCATTTTAGGTTTTGGGGTACATCCAGGAAGTGATTTTGATGAGAAGCAATGGTTCCGAGGGCCACTGAGAAACACTATCGTGTGGAGCTAGGCGTCACTGCATATTGTTGGGGAAACTGATCTTAAGCCCTAGAGGCAGGGCAGGCCCTAGAGCCTACATCCAATGGCTAGAGCATGCTGAGCCCAGTGGAGACAGGAGGATTGCTGCTCAGCCAACTTGGAGCAGCTGATTGACTCTGAACAAAGGATGACAGCTGATCTGTTAGGAAACAGGTCTGCCCTTATGGTTCTCACACAGTACTGCCACCAGAAATGAATCCCAGCCATCCCACTGGGTGGGTGGGGGCACTGGCCTCTTTGGAAGAAGGGGAGTT